TTTTTTTATAATTTATTTATTCTTCATTTTGTAACAGTAACAGATACTCTTCTTAGTGAACACAGAGATATCTAATCAAAATCAGTCAAAGAAAAGAAAGCAATTTTACTGATTTTTAATATTATAGGTATCTATTGCTCCACTATGACGTAGTGTCGGCCATCATTCTTTTCTAATTGTTGCAGTTGTCAGCCATCATTCTTTTTCAATTGTTGTCGCATTGTCACTGATGTCGGCCATTATGGTTTTTTAATAGATGTATAGTAATTAATGATTAAAATTTAAAGGAATTGTTTGTAAATAGGTATGCAACACATCGTACACTTCAGCATAAGAAATTGCTGGTACTAACTTTCATTTACGTAATACTACTTTGCCCCGTTCTGAGAGCACTCATAATTTCTTTTATATATAATATTACGTAACAAATGGTAGAAGTTATTGATCAATTTAATACTTACTTTAACTTTTTCATTTATTCTAATTAAATTTAACGTGACCTCTGAATTTTATGACTCTGAATAAGTTACAACCACGTAAACATATATGCAATGAAACACCATAAATAAAACAATTATCGGCAAGCAAAGGACATGCATTAATTTATACCGTCATCATAGACATTTAATTGTGTGTTTATAGTTTTTCTTAATTAACAAGTTACTTACGATTAGTTAAAATGTTGTGAGTTCATGTTCTTATTTTCGAATTAATCGTTTCCAGGGTTTATCGCATTTATGAAACGTTGGTAAACTAACAATGATAAACATGAAAAGTCATAAAAGTCACAAGATAAAACATTATTAATATGCATGCCACTTTAGCAACAGGATTGTAGGGTTAAAGGTTAAAATCTTTCCATCCTTAATAGGTCAAGACCTCGGATGAACCTTGAAACCACAACGTATACCTTTAAAAAAGATAAGGAGTTTTATTCTGAAGAAGTATTGATTACTAGCTGACCCGACAGACGTTATACTGACTTTAAGAATATTGAATTCGAAGAATATATTCGTTTAGATTTCTTAAATTTTTTAATGTTCTGTGTTAAATTTCACATACTGATATTCGAGAACTTACTATTGTTGGGGGAATATCAGCACACGCGTTAAATTGATAAGGCGTGTTGCTTAATTCTGGGGTGGAAGGTAGAACAATAGAAGTCTTGCAGCGAAGTCGACTATTAAATATATATTTATAAATGTGTACAGAGTATCCCCAACGATTGATTAGTAATGATTAACTATACAAGTGCAAGTCCTAGTTCATGTGCTTCTGCTCGTTCAAGTGTTTGTGCTCGTTCAAGTGCTTCCATTGAAGTCCTTGGTCACTTCTTACATCTAAACTTAAAACTAGTAACAAATACCAAGGGTGTGGCGAATGTCACCATTGGTGATTAACCCTTTAAAACAATTCTGTGGAGACGTACAAGGGGAAGCTTTCAAAACTCAAAATATTGCAAGATAGGGATGTTTATAACTTTGAAAAATCGGCTATATCAAATAAATCAACAAACGTTACTTTTAACTGTGAAACTCATAAAAATAAACACCCCAAAATAACAATGAATCTGCATTGGGGATCATAAAGGATCATTCTTGAACTGTTATCCCTATAAACTAATTTAAGTATTTAACTGATGCACCTAGCTCTCCTCGAAAGGTCTACTACCAAATAAACACTATGCCGCCTTGTAAATTTGCAAAACACTCTAAAAATTGCATGCAGGAACTTTATGAGCTGCATCAAAAAGAACGGTCTTCACTCTGAACATTCTGCACAACTTTTCTTCCATAAGAACCTTCTCCTGGCAATAATAAACACAATAAAAAAAGAACTAGCGAAATTGGACCAGCCGTTTACGTGTGATGTCATGACTAAGGAAAATTCATTTTTATATATCATCATAAGGTCGTTAGTCCCAAGACTGACTGGATACGCACCTCCACTCCTTTCTATCCTGAGCTAATCTTCGCATTTTCCTAAAACTAGAACATCCCACATCCTTAACGATTTGCGATATATAATTGTATATTGATTAATTATTGAATAGTTGACCTAGCGGAATGACCTAGAGGTTTAGTCCACTGCTTAGTATTCGGGAAGACGCCGGTTCGATTCCGGGTCCGTTTGCCTTGGTCCAAGTTTTTTACGGTTTCCTTGGATTATTTAGTCAAATACTGGGGCAGTAATATTCCACAGATAACCTTTCATTTTCTTTTGTCTTCATTTTGCCCGTCTCATTTTTCTCACCCTAACCACCACCTACCCATTCCCACGATTCTTGAAAGGAGGCTGAAGAGGGCTCGAGGGACCGGACTTTTTTTTGAATAGTTGAATATTCGGATTGCAGTGGAATCTCCCTTTACGTACGCCTTTCTCGAGCGGACACATTTGCCTGGTCCCGGCCGCTTTCCATAAGAAAAGCATTGTTTTGTCTCTCCCATAAGCGGACACTCTTTTGTACGGACACGGACAGTAATTTTTAAAGATTTCTCCACAAAAATTTCTTTTGAACGGACAACTTAAAAATAAATCAAATTATGTTCTTTTATTTGAGCGCTATTAGATAACATATCAGTCCCATTCAAAACATTCTGAACACCTGCACTTGCCTAAACGAGTATGGTCGGATAAGTTCCCAGAAGTATTATAATCCCAACAGTTGTAAATACATACTTACATACATAACAATCTTGTTGATTGTTTTATTCCTTTAGACGTTACCATAGGTCGTTACACATTCGATAGTGAATCAAACAACCGACGGTTCAAAGGGACCATTTGTAAGAAAAATCCGACAAACTACACTACAGTAATTCTTTTCTAGGTAATTTTTAGTTTAGAGTCAAATTTATTTCTGTTTCTTGCTCCTGTTTGAGAGAGTAAATACATATATATGTACAATAAATACACATAGCTTTAAATGCTATCTAACTTAAATTTCCATTATCCCTTTCCTTTAAATGTGTAATATCATTATTTTAAATAAGATACATAAATAATCAATAACAATAATTATATAAATGTGCAGGTATATTATTTTTATTAGCATAATAGTAATAGAGCAATTCATGTCAATACTAAGGATAGAGATAAACGGAATAAAGGAAGAAATGCATTATAAAATGGTAGTTTTAGAAA